GACTTTATGGGATGCTGTTTTTTTGAAAATGTCCAACGAGTAGCAAAACATAAAAGCATAACTGAAGTCCAAATGCAAATTATTAATAGCATCTTAAAAACAAGAGTTGAAATGTTAACGAATGTGAGTGATGGAATCAAGTTAATAAAGGAGAGGATGGCATCTAAGCCGATCTTGCTTGTTCTGGATGATGTGGATGATCGGGAGCAGTTAGAAGCATTAGCCGGTTCCCCTGATTGGTTTTGCCCCGGAAGTTTTATTATTTTCACTGGTAAAGACAAACAGTTGCTAAGGTCTCATGAAGTGGATAACATTCATGACATGTCATTTTTATCGATTCATAAAGCCAGGGAGCTTTTTCATTTGTATGCTTTTCGCCATAAGCATCCTACAATGGATTTCATGGTGCTCTCTGACCACGTTGTGAAGTGTTTGCAAGGGCACCCTTTGGCTCTTATAGTTATGGGTAGTCATTTGTATGGCAAGTCTATGGATGTGTGGCAAAGTGAAGTGGGTATACTCCAAAAATATCCTGATGCAGAGATACAACAAAAGCTTAGACCAAGTTTYGATGCGCTAGACTTCGATAAGAAAAACATATTTCTTGATATCGCCTGCTCGTTCATTGGGGAAGATAAAGATTTTGCRGCGAGTGTACTAGGAAGCAGTGCACATGCTAATATCCAGGTTCTAGTAGACAAGTCACTTATTACAATCTCTCGAGATAATAATTTACTTCAAATGCATGACTTGATTCAAAGCATGGCAAGGAGAATTATACATGAGGAATTTGTGGTAAAGGAAGTGTGGAGCAGACTATGGAATTTATCAGAGTTACGTAACGTATTGAGCAAAAATAAGGTAAGAATTGGCATATAAATCTTTTTTCTATGTAATACATACTTTAAGTAATTGCATATGTTACTCATTTGCATATAAGTTATATGTTTCCATAATATTCAGAATTTGATAATCTTATTACTTGTATCTAGGCAATAGAAGGACTGGAAGTTCTTGACCTTTCTCTAAAGCAATCTAGTCCAAACTTTCACATAGACGGTGAAGCTTTTGAAGATATGAAAAATCTGCGAATCCTAAAAATTTCTTATGGGGAACTCGAAAACTTTTGGGAGGACTCTAAGGTGAATTACTCTGGAAGGTTAAAAGCTTTATCGAATGAGCTAACGTTGCTTTATTGGAATGGATGCCCTTTCGAGTTCCCTTTGGATTTTTATCCAGAAAACATTGTGGTTATTGACTTGTCTTACAGCTACTTAAAAACTCTATGGACGACACCTAAGGTAATTATTCGTTCATGAATTTCTTCTTTCATTAACACCCCATGATTTAAGTACCAACATTTTTGTACGGGATGTTAGTGTTTTGCAAGGTTGAAAGTAATGAAGCTAAGGCATTGCCGTAACCTAACAAATACCCCCGATTTCACAAGTATTACAAATCTCGAGGAGTTAATTCTTGAAGGTTGTATTAACTTGGTTAAAGTCCACCCATCTTTTGGAATGCTCAAGAAGCTTGTTGTTCTAAATATGAGATATTGCAAACGTTTTAGGAGATTCCCCTGCAAAGTCGAAATGGATTCTCTTGAAGTAGTGAATCTCTCGGGTTGCTCAAAATTGGACAAACTTCCTGAAATTTTTAGCACAATCCAGACGTTGAGGGAGTTCTCTATTCATGGAACCGCCATAACTGAGCTTCCTTGTTTTGTATTCTCTCAATGCAACCTTCAAGTATTGGGATTTGGTGGACATGAGAAGAGGATCCGGTCTAGATGGTGGGGTTCAATTTCTCAACTTTCATGGTTACCAAGTAAGATACAACATCCCCAAAGTCAAAGTCTACTAATGCCTTCATTGGCAGATTTATGTTTCTTACGGGAATTGAATTTTAGCCACTGCAATATATCGGAAGTGTCTGATAGCATTGGATGCTTATCATTTCTAGAATATCTGAATTTGCAAGGGAACATATTTACTAGCTTTCCAGCTGGATGTTTGAGTCAACTTCCTCGTCTTCACCATCTTCAACTTTCTGGTTGCAAGGAGCTGGAAGTGCTGCCAGAACTTCCACCTAGCCTAAAAACTCTTTATGCATCTTATTGCACCTCCTTGCATCAACATCCACCTAACAACAATTATTATATCCACTCGTTTTCCATGTATTTTAACGGTTGTCCAATATTGTTTAGGAATCTTAGTATTGAAAGCCAGGTTTGTATGTCGCAACCTTTACCTGATCATAACCCATCTATAACCACCCAAATTTCTTCTTTGCTTCAATTTATGGAGCTCCCGAGTAACACATGTGGAATCTTCGGTGGACAAGAAAGACAATTCTTCCAAGGTGACCTTTTGGAAATAATATATCATGGAAATAGAATTCCACAATGGTTTACAAATACAAAGATGGGAAATCACATACATGTCGAACTGCCTCCAAATTTCTGCTACAACAAGTTCAGGGGATATGGAATTTGTGTTATTTTCACGCAGAAAAGGTCTTATGGTCGCCACAATTACAACAATGCACCAAGGTATCGTGTGGACCACTTTGATGGGACTTCTTTGCTTGAATTTTATCCATTTGGCTATAGTTACACTGGAATTCGTAAGTCAGATATGATATGGTTTTGTTTTACGACTTGGGTTGATCCTAATTGGCAGGAAGCAAAGAATTTTGTTACTTTTTCTATTGTACATGATGATGATCTTGAGGTAAAAGAATGTGGTTGCAGACTTGTTTTTGATGAAGATATAGAAGAAACGACGAATTTCAGTCTCACTCAGGACCTCCCGACTCCAACAGAAGAAGGAGGTGCCATCCAAATGTGGAGGAATAATCGACGTTTCTTTTGGTCGTTGTAGGTGGTCTGATTAACAAAGTTGTATTATGGTGCTACCTAATTATCATACTTTGATGAGGGATTTCTATCACAATAATCACAATCGGGTTACCAAGTGATTGGTTATCACATTATGATAACAATTAATGGTTATGTATCACAGTAAAATGAACTTATGTGTATTACAAGATCATCACAGTTAATACATCTATTAGGGGTAGATGATTGTATGTGAATCACATCAGTATCATAGTTAACACATTTCTATTAGGGCTCAATGATTGACTATCAAACCATTGTTATCACAAATGTCATAGTTGGATAATTACATGCCTTACTTACCATGGATTGTTTGCTTATAACTCTGATGGATCACAATATGATCGAATATGAGACTACAGTAAACGATCAAGTGAGATATTATAAAATTCTAATTGAAAATCATGGGATAATTATAATTAATTAAAATAAAATAAAATTTGATAAAAAAAAAAATAAGTAATTACATTACTACCTTTAACAATTTATCTTTATCTATTATAATTTAAATTATCGGTTAACAAAGTTGGAGACTCATAACTGTTCTTGCGTTGTCGTTAAATCACAAGGTTTTCGTTTGAACTCTCGTCTATATATATATATATATATATATATATATATATATATATATA